CTTCTAGATACGCCACCGTACATACTGGGGCACCATATAAGGACATTTTGTTAGAAAGATATTATTTTAGTACTGCGAATACCATGCCTAATTTAAAAATTACCTTCTTGCGCTGTATATGTTTTGGTCGGAGCCCGACGCCTGGGCCTAGGCTATTAGGGCTTGGACCTTGGCACTCTACTCCCATCATCTCTTGCGTGACATCACTGTCACAAAAATTAATAAAATATTCCGTTTCTCTTGTTTTTGCAGGATCGCTCGTCGGTTGGCACTTAGGTGAAGACTTTGGAGTGATGTCAGAAAATATATTCATAGTTGCTGATTTTACACAACCTCGATTCTTCTATAACGTCACTGCATATGTAGACACGAACATATCGACGACCATTTTAATGGATGATTACAAACAGGTTGGTAGATTTGGTGTTTGAACTGAATAAACATTGAAGGCTGAATCCATGTAAAGTATAATATAGGCCTAATATAATTCACATTAAGTAGGCCTAAATCATATTTCAAAGCATTCATTAAAATATTACTATCACCAAACAAATCGAATTAAACCTGAAGAGTTGAAATATACCGTTTAATTATTCACCGGCATTTACTCATTTAATAGAATATAACTTTACATAACTTAATGTCAAAATAATCCCGTTTCATTATTTTATAATTACTGACACTTTACTACAAAAATCCTTATATGCCTATTTGTTTTGAGCTAATTTATAAAAGATAGGACTGAGTATTATTAAAACGTCTTAATTTTAAAATGTTTAGTTTAAAGCTAATATGCCTATAACTTATTGATAAAATTATGTAAAAACAAACATTTAAAAAAAAAATGTTTAAGTTAGATTTTTGTGGTAGTATATCTGATAAAATACCATGGTCTGACCTTTTAAATAGAATTTACTATTTATTTTAGATTCTAGCCTCCATAAATCAAACTTGTTTTGCATTTTCGAATCATTATCATCAAGCAACAATTTATATAAACAACCGATTCCTCACACGTAATCAATAAACGTTGCAGTTATGAGCAACAATTTGTACGATTTTAACACTCTGGAATTTTTTTTATCAATTATTGTTTTTGCTTATGTATTTCTCCGTCTATGTATTTTGTGTTGATGATGTGGAAATAAAATTTATATTGAATTGAATTGAACCAGCCGGAAAATATTAAAGTGCCCAGCGCTTTTGTTAGAGACGCCAAAACCTTCATTTATAAACTCAATTATAAACACACATTGTCGCTTATTTATTTTAGGTCATTTACGGTAGGCTAGATTAAATTAGCAATTATAAGGGATTTACCCTATTATGATAATTATAAAAAATACGTAGATTAAAAAAGTGAAAATAAACAAGGTTTCTAAGCGCCAGGTCTAAGTATGCCGGAATGGCAAGGGGAAAGTAATGCAGTAACAGCAGAATAATGATACAAAGCAAGCGATTTAAAGCACAGAGAGAGAGGGAGGGGGAAGGAGAGAGAGAGAGGGGGAGAGTGAGGGAGAGAGGGGGGGGGAGAGTGAGGGAGAGAGGGGAGAGAGAGAGAGAGAGAGGGAGAGAGAGAGAGAGGCAGAGAGAGAAAAGTGAACACACTACCCTGAAATTAACTAAAACATGAACATCTTCAAACCGGCTTATAGTGTATGGAAACCAAAACCATTGGTCACCTGAGCACATCTTTCTCGCCGTACACCACGTAGATTGTTCTGAAAAGAAGTGTTGTTTGTTGGGATTTCTCGACGTTTCGAGTGAGTTGCTTCAATCGTCTTCAGGAGAATAATATCTGCTCTCCTGAAGACAATTGAAACAACAGTTCTTTTCAAGACTACAGTATATACGCGGAGTGTCGTAAGCATTAATACATTATTATTTCTTTGAACTGCAACCTTCAAACAATATTTTACCTCTTTCTCGCAATATACGACCACTATTTGAAAAAGCGGTCAGCATGATCCCACACAGGCGCAATTATTGGCCATTGTTTTTGTTCTGATTTTTTTTTCTTGCATATATTTTTCCTATCTGTTTGCACTGTTTTTTTTCTGGTCGTCACTTTGGTTACTTCCCTGCTTCAAATTTTTCTGTGCTTTACCGAGTCTTAGGCCATATATCAAGGGTGTGCCTCCTAATATTTAGTGTCAATTTATGGTGGGGTGTGCGTGTGAGGACCAATTAAAGTTATTTAAGGTCAAACAGTTTACACCGGATATTTAAAAACCCGGTCAGTTGATTTAAATGAAACTATCGGGAAAGTTTAATTAAGTTACAAGGAAGAAATTTGTATGTGTTAGTGACGACCCAGTGAAGGGTGTAAATTTGAGAGTCTTTTCAATTTTTGAGGACCCAGACCTAAATATCTCTTTAAAAAAACCAATGGGTCTAAATGAAACATTCTATAATACTTTGTAAAGGTTTTGTAAAAAATTATTAAATGTTTGTGACGATCGCAGTATGGTGTGGATCTGAGGACCATTTAAAGGAAAACGTCCCAAACCACATATTTTGAAAACGGATCAACTGATCTGAATGAAACATTCGGATACAGTTTAACCAAAGTTACAAGGAAGAAATTATTATGTGCTGGCGACGAATCAGTCCGGGGTGTAAATGGGAGGAGCATTTCAATTTTTAAGGACCGAGACCTAAATATCTATTTAAAAAAACCAATGGGTATAATTTAAACTTTGTATAACAGTTTGTCAAAGTCGAGTAAAGAAATGATTAAATTTTTGTGACGATCCGGAGTGGTGTAGATCTGAGGACCATTGAAAGGAAAACGCCTCCGACCCCATTTTGGAAACGGATCAACTGATTTGAATGAAACATTCGGAAAAAGTTTAACCAAGTTACAAGGAAGATATTATTAAGTGTGGCGACGAATCAGTCAAAGGTGTACATTGGAGGGTTATTTCAGTATTCAATTGCTATGAACTGAAAATGCACTTTCTTATACAAGGTCGGCCCATGTAGCGCGCAATGGTTATGGGTCACGATGCAGTCATAGTTGTCGCAGTGAGCTTGGTTTTGGTTTTTTTTCCCCACTTTATTTTTTCCCACTTCATTAAAATTATATTGATTTTCCTCGTTTTTTTTTACTTTATACCTTTTAACGACTTTTTCTTCTTTTTTTTTTCTCTTTTGTGGCAACAGACCGCATTTATTCATCAATATCATTATAAAGCACAGTTCATACATTTACAATTGATGGTACTAAATATATTGATTTTATACATTGATTTAGTTGTGGGTTAGCCTTTCATTATCCTCCTTTTTTCGTGGTTTTCATATTTTTTTTTTTAATTCCCTCTCTTTTTCTCCTTAATATACAAACGACTTTTCTTTTTGTTGCAATTTCAACTTCATTTCCCATTAAAGCAATGGGGAAAAGCCCTATGTTCTGTTGTTCAAACAGACAGAGTAAGTCTAGTTAAATGGTTTTCGATCGTTATTTCTATCAAAGGCCTAATAACGATTTTTATAGTATGGACCTTTCCGCTAAGTTCTGCCGCTTAGATTGATAAGATCCCACAAAACTAATGTGTAAACGCAAAACACGTGCATGTAAGACAGACAGACGTGTGTTTGTTTATTAGACACGTGCGTATTCCTGACCCTATTCTAATTGGTCCACTTTGCTTTTATAGAACGTCAGATGGGTTATTGATCCTGTTGGAAAGACTTGCCAAAAGGAACCTTTGCCAAATGAAAAGTACAAGCCAATCAACAGGTGCGTTCCAGGTAAGGTATAGGCCCTGCAAGGAATGCATGATGGGAGTGGGCGGGCTTTACCCAGGGATTAGACAGGTAAAGTGGTACTTTAAAGCTTCGTCTAAGTCTAAACGTGCCTAATACTGTATCATATAATTATTTCCCTGTTTGGACTCTGATCACAACAACTGAAACGAAACGTCGAAACTAGACATTCCCAGCCACAGAAGTTTTCAGAATTATCTAGGTGTAGTGTACCGCAAGCATTTACACATTATTATTATATTATCATCATTAGTTCAAATTATTCATTAACTATCTGCTGGATGTTTTCTTAACAGATAATGCACAGTTTTTACAGCAAGTAAACAACCCTGGTAATGTGCTGGTTAATATGTGGTATTATGAATACAAAACAGAATCGGCAGATGGAATGATGTCAACTGGAGTTACCGTTGATGAGTGCCTGCCAACTGGAGGCTCATTCGTTGGAAAAACAAAGAATACTGGAGAAGACGGTAATGACATTTCGTTGTAGAGACTACAAATTAGACAAATGTACTGGCGTGAGGCTTTTAAAAATTCCGCCACTATGGGTATGGGACTCAACCCTCCCTACCCCTGTAAAATTATATTTCCTCAATGCTCGAAATTGCATTCAGGATTTGTATTTTTTTTCTTTGTATCTATATGACAGCGCTTTATTAAAAACGACATTCAGTGTTATTGCAGGTATAGTTAGTATACAGGATGTTACCTTGATATTTTAATACTGTAGATGGAGAAAAGTAAGAAGAGGACTACAAAGGTAACAAGTTATATATATATATAGGACGGATCCAGCCCGTTGACAAAAATGTGAGGGGGTGTGAATATGCGAACTTAGTGAGAGTCTCGGGGAAATGCCCCAGGTAGGGGGTACAAGCTGTCTCTTATACACATCTAGATGTGTATAAGAGACAGGTGGTGTAGATCTGAGGACCATTGAAAGGAAAACGCCTCCGACCCCATTTTGGAAACGGATCAACTGATCTGAATGAAACATTCGGAAAAAGTTTAACCAAGTTACAAGGAAGATATTCGTGAGTCTTACGCCGAATATACATAAGATTTGGTAGGTCTGCGTTCACCTGCGATTGCATGGAAAATGCAATCTGAAGATACGGTACTAGATGAGGAACGGACCGTTTCAATGACGATCAGCGACAGATGCCGGCGTCATCGCCAATCGCTCACACATACACATGCGCAGGCTTACAGCAAAAGAGAACATAAGAGAAAAATACCAAATACCAAATCAAATATGGCCTGCCATTTAAACACCTTTCGTATTGTTAATTTCAGTTTACATAATGGAGGCTTTTGGTTTCTTCAACTTTAAGGCATTGACTGATGTTTCACAATATTTTAAGCTTCCATCTTATTGTGATACAAAATTCAATTTTGTAAGTAATTCAAAGGTAAGCGAACAATTGTCCAAACTTTCAGGACTTTTATTAATACTGTCTGAATTTGCTTCTAATGATCTGTATAAATAAATACTAAAGTTTAAAGATGGTAGGCCTATCCTTAACAGAAACTTCAGTGAAGGATTTGCGACAAATAAACAATGCAGTATTATCATTTGCTGGGGATGGAGCCACTCTTTATATAGCCTATTTGCTCAAGGATTTGAAACTCAATTCCGGATTTTCGACCTTTGTAGAAGGACCTTTGTTCGAAGGAAGGATTTGGGACCCTAATTCTGATAACAAAACAGTCAAATACTTTTATTTGTTCAAGCAATGTTGTTGGGCCTAGGGAAATTAAGATGAGAATTGAAGTTTTCATACCAATAATTAATATACCAGGGTTAATACGTAGTACTAGCCCTATACTTTGCAATAATTTGGTCGCAGAATACTACTAAAGTGATTTCCTTAAAATTGCTACACTGACGCTACAATGTTCTCAGTGCAATAGGTGTACTGCGTAGCTATGGAAAGCCGTTTAAACAACAATTCGATGATAACCAGTGAGCCGTCGATAAAAAAAGTAAATCGTCGATGATGAAACAAGTGAATCGTTGATGATGAAAAAGTAAATCGCCAATGATGAAAACAAGTGAATCGTTGATGATAAACAAGTGAATCGTCGATGATAAAATAAGTTGTCGATTCACTTCAGGGTTGCATTTTTTCCGCAAGCAACAAGGTCTGACCATGATCTGACCCTGACCCTGACTCATCACACACCACCACACACACGGCCCACACACGGAAAGGGTATCTTAAAAGTAATTGACTACCAAGCTGTCGGCGATAGCGTGTAGCAATTGTATGGAAACCACCAAGTTTACGGCATCGTGATTCGTAATTAACCACATTTCTGATATTAGTTCTGCTTAACAGACCTAAGGGAATGTATTTCGTAATATTTAGATCATAATGGCTATCGATCGTTACATATCCATCTCTTGTAATGTGAAATTAACATGAGAAGAATTTCTTGCTCTATAGGTTATGATGAAGACAAAGGCGACCGAAGATGCTAAGCGATTGGTTAGGTCCAGACGTTTCTTGTAAGCCTACAGTACGAAGAAAACACATAAAGTTACTTAAGCTGCTTTCAACATGCGCGAAAGTTGTAGTGAACGTTGTGATTAGGTTATTTCAGAAAATTACGTTTATGTTAATTAGTTAAAAAATCACGTTATATATATGTATTTTTGTTTGTACTTTTTAAAAACCAAACTGTCACGTTATTAAATCGTTTTTATAGCATACATTTGTTAAGGTGAAGTGTACAAAACTACCATACAAATGCTCACCACCACTTGAGAATGCTTAGGCTTATTAGCAAAAGAAAAAAAAAGAAAAGAAAAGCTTTACTACTCAGATTACGACGGTTAATATAGTCACAATAAAGTAAACAACAAATATTGAATTCGGCACTCGTTGTCTTAATTTCGTCATGGGTAGGCCCTATTTATTACTCAAGGACTTGATTTACAGACATTGACCAACATCTCAATTTATATTAACAATTAATAACGTAACACCCGTGCCTCTTAAGGGTGAAGTCCAAGGATCCCCAACCCAAAGGGGCCCAAACTCTTTTTATTATACTCCTCTTACTTTAATGCAGTCTTAACGAGTGTGCTCTCAGGAGAAAAGCTAGTCCCCAGTTTAAAAGGACTGGATGGGTCATGGATCCCTTTTTAGCAATTGTAATAACTCAGCAATCCTAAAGACAGATATTAAAAAATAAACCAACATCAAATCATAGTATAAAATTGTATACTGTGAAGGGGACATCGTACTGTAGCAACATTCTTCAATGTAGCTTCTTATCCAAATTACAGGTTCATCATCCCTGCCAATAAAGACACCCTGTAGAGCCCACAAATGAAAAATCTACCACAAATGTGAAAATAACCTCAAATGTAAAAGAAATCGCCCACAAATGTAAAAATCTGTTTAACCACAAATGTAGAAACATTTTACTACAAATGTAAAAATTTCCATTTTTACCTTAAATGTCACAACATGTCAACCGCAAATGTAAAAATTTCCCTAATCACTTAAATCCTTAAAATATTAAAAGAGCAGTTAAGCACCAAGTTGCGCAATTTTAGAGCAGCTATGGGTCAAGTTGTGCACTTTATTACCAAAACATGAAACTTGGCACAAAATATCTTTGTGTAAATTTTAAAAAATAGTTTTGCGCCGAGTTTCTAAATCCTGCTATGGCCGCTATTTTGAATTTAAAATGACCGCCTCTAAAAGACGTGATCCATATATCTTGGCAACTGAAAATCGTATAGACTTAATTTTTTACCTTTGAGCCAACGTGACCCAGCATATCCATATCTCCAAAACATACAGACCTAGTTTTGGCCTAAAATTGTTCAGAAAATGCATGTTTCTATTTGCTCTAATGTAACATTTTGCCCAAAAGTAACCGGAAATGGCGTTTCTGACCTTTGACCGTATATCCAGCATATCCATATCCCAAAAAACGGTTGGCCATAGGCCTGATTTTGGCCTCAAATTTTTCAGAACATACATGTTGACCAGAAATGAAGTTTATGACCTCTGACCCTAGGTACCCTGTAGGATATTTTTATATCTCCATAACCGTTGGTCATAGAGACCGACCTAAGTTTAACCTTAAATTGTTCGAAACATATATATTTCTTATGTACACGAATGCAACATTTTGTCTAAAAGTGACCGGAAATGACATTTCTGACCTTTGGCCCAAAGGACACTTTAGCACCTATACGTCTATTACTATTGGTGTATGTACATCTAGTTTTGGATTTTTTAGAATATGCATGTTGCTATTTGAAATACTGCAACGTTTTATTTCTGACCTTTGAAACCCTGTAGCATATGCATATCTCATAATGGTCTCAAAGTATTCGGAAAATACATGTATCTATCTGCTCTAATGTAATATATTGTCAAAATGTCACTGGAAATGACATTTATGACCTTTGAACTCTGATAACCAGCATGTACATCAGAGCATACCGTACATGTCTCTATATGTATTTGTCTTATTGTGAATATAAATGATATTTTTGAACTTTGACGTTAGATATCTTAAATATTCACATCTTCCCAAATTTAGAGACTTGATTATGGTCTGAAATGCCAGAATAAGCATCTGTTTACCTTTACTGAAAATGTTGTCGACACAATGCCGAAAATGCTTGTTTATTTGGTCTCTGGCCCTAGTAATGTTTGTTTTATTAAAAGAAGAAAAAATTGTTTGATCTACCTAGGATACTCCTGCGAATCTAATTTTAATAGTAATAATAATAAAACACTTGCAGACCAAGCGCATAATACACGAAAAACTCCTGTTTGCTTAATATTATAAAATAAATAAAATATTTAAATAAACAAATACACCCACACACAAAGAAAATGCGAAGAAATGGCACAACAAAATGAAAATGTGTCACGAGCAGGGCGCCCTCTTAGAGAGAGGGCCGTATTTATGAGGTGAAGAGGAGAGGATAATAAAAGATGGAGGACAGAAACACATGTGTCTGTCTCTGTGTGTGATTTTTCACTATGTATGGATGTCGATTATTGATCCCGGTCCTGTCAGAATCGCCAAAAATACTGTATAAAGAATCTCTGAGGGGTCACCGTCCCGGACCCTATCTAGGTGGCTCGAAGAAAGGAATGAGATACGCATTTGCACTTCCACAGGACAATTAAATTTGGACAGGGGTCCCTAAGAAAAAATGCAGGCAGATTTATATTGTGAAGATATACCATTTTTAGAAGTTTTTAAACAAATTAATTGGTCGGGTAATGTTGCAGATAGCATGATATATTCGTGAAGCCTGTTTTCTAGAAGTGAGTTGATCCAAAAGCGAAGGATCGATCATCATAAAAAGTTGTGTTCGTCCTAAGCATAACAATTCCTGACTGTGAAGATGATCCTAACATATAGAACACATCGAATTGTAAATAATTGTGACCCGAAACCACGAAAGGGCTGTAAACTCGCATCAACAGGTTTCGAGAAAAAGGGCCAAATAGACAGTTAAGCAAACTGTGATTATGTACTACCATTAATCTTGCTATTTTTGAAGTTTGGTTCAATATTCGAACTCTAAACCCTAAAATTTAGCCATTTTATAAAGGCCATTCTACGAGAAACGTATATAAACAGTCCAATGTGCATTCATTTTTAAAGAAATTCACCTACTTTCAAGCCACCATACTTCGCTTCCAAACAATGCATCGTCGGCCATCTTACTCTGCGAAAAAAATATCTGTTGTATGAAGTGATTGGTTATTTCTGTCTTAGGTAATATATTCCATCTGTTTTATCCAATTAAAAACTCTTAATAATGTAAACATAGGTATCCTAGGACGAAAGAAACACAACATGATTGGCTAAGAGCTCACGTGATATTATCGTTCCGATTTGTTGCTTGGTGTTTATTTACTTCCGGCAATTGGTTAGGACATAGTAACCAGACCTGGCATAACTACGCTATCTAACATAATTCAGACCACTTTAGCATGTAGCATTTGTGCTAGGCATATAATTTTGGCAAACTTAGCATAATTTAGCATAATTTTGACATAAGAAGATATATATCAGCTCTAATACCGCTTGTATATTCATCATAAAACAGGTAATAATAATAAACTTTATTATAATATATAACCAACCTTCAACAACCTTGACCACCACATAATAAAATGGTTTTGTCCGAAAATCCTATCCTATCCACGAGTGATGTGTGCTATGCTGTATCGGTGGTTTTTTTTACCACATAGACAATTCTTACTGCAGATAAAGTGTACTGATATGTTTGGAGACTCCTCGATGCTAAAGCTTCACATGAGGAGCGTCATGTGAAATATTGAATAAAAAAAATATTTAAAAATCTTACTCAATTAAATCCCTGCCGGCGCACTCCGCCTCACCCGCTTATTTCCACTTAAAATATATTAATAAACCAGGACGAACCATCAGAATCTTACACAAATAGTGATACACCTACAAGAATAGCAGCCTGGTGAGTAACAGGCCTATTTACATTACTCCAAATTAATTAAACGTATATGAAACACTGGTTATAGATAAATTAATTGGAAGGTATGAAGTCATTATCAGGTCACTCAGAATGCTCTGCTTCTTATCACAGAAACTTTCTGGTCCCCTGGCCTCCATTCATGATGGGTCAATTTGTTCTCATTAGTCCTAATCACTCTCAAACTGTTCCACCACCTATTTTATGACTGTTTAGAAAAAGACTTCGAAAAATCAGACCTCCTTAGACGTACCATTGAAAACTTATCCACTACACAAACTCAGACCTCCAACTAGATAAATAAAAACTATCAGATAGTAATACGTTCATTATTACTCGTATGCTATGTTTATGTGATTTCTGAATAAACAACAGTACACTTTTAAAATAGTAAAATGGTCACAGAACCAGGCTAGACCTACTGACGTTTCGGTTCTTAGCAGTGACGTAAATTTAAAACATATTCATGAAATCGTGTACAAAATAGTTGAACAAACTTTAAAGTATGTTCCAAAAGTATTTGTAGTGCATCGTTGTGGTACAAAGCTTACGCAAATGTATACTTAAATGGAGGAAATAGCCTTGAATATATTCAAAGTCTACTAAACTCCGTGACTTGTTGGAAAAGATTTGAAAAACAATCTTCTTGCCTTCTGGCAGTGAAACGTATCAGAAAGCGGAACATGAAACTAGTCGTGGTTATTGAAACTTTTAAAATATATTGATACCAATAGAACAATCATATATTTCCAGCGATGTAGAACTAAAACGTATTGATGAAGTATATTCACACAACGTCATTGAAATCGTGTACAAAATAGTTACACAACTTTAAAGAATCAAACAATAACGTGCGTGCCGACATTACAATTGGTTTAAAAATATATTTTCAAAAGTAATTTTGTAGAGCATAGCACCATAGTACGGACTATATTTAGTAAATACCCGACTGAAAAAATAACCTTAAAGTAACTCAAAAGACACGAAGCGTTTTATGTATTGTTTTTATAAAAAAAAAAATTCTTCCTGTGAGGCAATTTATGATGTATGTCACAAAATATTTACTGATCCGCGACTGTCTCTTATACACAGCCTGGGCTTTGGTGATGATAGACCAAGAGATGGTGAATGGTTGATTTTTCTTTTTGAGTTCCCATATGTATCTGGAGAGTTCGGTGCTGTGTTGGTGTTTCTCCCTCTTGAACGATTGTGTGTGGTTATAGTATCTGGATTTGAAGGGTGGCTCTGTCAGTCCGATGTAAACTTTAGGGTCGTCTTCGTTGGTCTTTTCCACTTTTGCTTTATAGATGATGTTAGAGGCCAGGCAATTTCCTTGGAGTGGGCATTGCTCTTTGTTTCGGCAGTTGCAGGTTCT